TGCAATTTGAACTTTAAATTATAAGTTCAGGGGTAAGTTAAATTTTAAACTTGTATTTGATAAATTTAAACCCTAAATAATTAAATTTCAGGCAATTTCGCCCACCGTCATATTAAGAAACATTTGCTATTTGTTTAAAAATAGATTTTAATGTGCAATTTTTCTCAAATTTCATTCTCTCTCCCCCCCCACCCTCCTTTAAGGGAAACTGCACATTGAATCACACTTTTTAAAAAATAGTAACAACCATTTCTTTGAATTTAATGATGGGAGTGAAATTGTTCCAAGCTTAATTATTTAAGGACCAAAATGTATCAAATATAAATTTAGGATTTAAATTACTCCTAAACCTATAATTTTAGAATCCAAATTACATATTAAAACTATTATTTATCATGAGCACTGGCCATTTGGCTATCATACTCTTTTTTCTTTACTCCTTTTACTTTAGTTTGTAAATTGTAATTTTCTTTTTAACTTATTTATATATTCATTTGCCTTTTTATAAGGGAATAAAACAAGTAAAAAGGATTATACTAAGCGATGCAGGTTGGGGTTGAATACTAAAATGTTTCTGGGAGAGTATAAGATCCAACATTAAATCTTCTCAAGCACCACGTTAACTAATTTTCTATGAAGTTCAACTTTTTTCAAATATGTACACTCAGGGTTTAAGTATTTGAAGTTATTAGCATTTTGAAGGGATCAGATGATAACTAATATTGTGTCATTATGATGGAAATGGGTATAAATATGAGAATGGAGCTATAATAAACATTTAATCGGTGTAGTTTTGTTGTATTGGGAGTTCTGAATTATTTGCAGTCGGGATTTGAGTTAAATTGAGGTTAAGAAGAAAATTAGGGACTTTACGTCATAATTTCCATTTAACTGGAGTACTTTTTTATAAATAGATTATTAATTATGTAGATTAACTTTTGTAATCAAGATGTTGATGTCCATGGCTTGATCAAGCTTGCTTAAGCTAACTATGATTAATTTGACTTATATGCTTGGTTTTGAATTGCATGTAAGTTTTATTATATTTAATTATAAAGGACTATGTAATGTTGACAGTAACATGTGAGATTTTGGAAAAGATGCTTCAGTTATACATTATGAAAAACCATAAGTGAAGTGAATGCATGCTTTTAGAAATCAAAAGTACATGAGCATTGAGATTTATGTACTCCGAATTATTATAGCCATTGATTTATTATTTTGAATTGTGCTGGGTTGTACTATTGGGAAGGTTCAATGCATGATTGCGAAAGTTCTTTGTGCGGCTAAAAAGATGTCAATACCTGCCAAAGATTTAGTGGTTGGTACTTGTCTAAGCCATTGACGCTACTCTTGTCCCCTAGTAAGACCATAAGAAATTAAAGGTGCTTCAAGTCATTGTGGGCTACCAGTTTTGACTTCAGGTCTTACAAATTTCAATGGCAATTAGATAATCTTCATTTATTTCAAAAAAACAAAAAAAGATCTTCATGAGCACATGCATCATGTTGAGCGAAGATTGCAAGAATGCAAGCTTATCTGCAACTATGTCCACCTAGAAAACACCTACATTATGCCATTCGCTATTGCAATAAATAAATAAATAAATAACTTTTACCATATTAATATGTGGGTTGCATCTTTGATGAATTAGGCGAAGTGAGTGGAGGGTCCAATTAAGTTAAATAATTGTTTATATTAATAATTATTTATATTATCTAATGGGTGGTTACCATAATATATTTGGAGGGAGTAGTTATTTGTTTTTTTTCGATAAACAATAATTTCCTGTTATTAGTTAGTGATATATCGGGTTATCTGGTATTAAGCACACATACATATAACTCTCCCACCTAGAAAGATAACTTACACAGAGAACAAGCATGTTCTCCATTCTGGTTTCCTCTCCCTCTTCTCTCTCAAAGAAGTTCCCATGTATCTACAATGTATCAAACACTCATGTCCATCACTGTGATTAGGTTACTATGAGGCGGAGACAAGGCCATGCATCGCTATCAGAGATATTGTTATCAAAGTCAACAAAGATATGTTTCTGCACTCTATCTTCTTACATAATCTATGTTGCTGATAAAAAAGTGACGTAAAAAAAAAGACCGATGACATTTTGATAAATAAATGTCACACACACACAACTTGGGAAGAATCACTTGCCATTTTGTTTTTCTTGAAAGAGACGTGGTTAAAGAAAACTACGTCACTTGCTAAAACAGCGACATGGATCCCTTTCAATAGTGATATAGAAAGATCTTCGCAAGTGACTTAAAATTTCATGTATCTAACACTGTTAAAAAAATGAAATTAATGAGAAAAATTTAATAAAAGATCGTCTATTCCTCTTTAAAATATCAAATTAGCAAGAAAATTGACGAGAGATGTTGATTTTATAGCTCAATTTAAAATTAATAAGAGACTATATTAGCAAGGAAATAATAAGGGACTATCAATCCCTCTTTAAAATAAAATAATTAGCGAGAAAAATAGCAAATGACTACCAATTCCTCTCTAAAATAAAATAATTAGTGAGGGATTATATCCCTAGCTAATTACTATAAAAAAAATTTAACCTTTGGCAATCACTTTTAATTATATATTTAATTATTTTTGTTTAAAAATAAAAATTAAATTTAAAAATTAACTAAAATATTCAAATAAAATTATTTAATATTTAATATTTTCTTTATTTTAATTTAATTTTCATTAATAAAATAATATTTATTAAAAATATAATATAAAGAATAATTTAAATAAAATATAAATATTTTCAACATATTAATAATTGAAAATAATTTTTTTGTAAAATAATATATATTTAATTTCTCATATAATAATTACAAGTGCCTTTCAATTTAATTGTTAAAGAAAAAGAGTATAAGACTTTGAAGGTATGAGGTCCAGGATTCAAGTTTTGATTTTGGCATAAATATAATGAATATGGTATATGGTAAGAAGCAAGTGATATATGAATTGTTACACATGTGGTAGGTAATGGGGCACGAGATAGTAGGTGACATGGTCGTTGACAAGACACAAAGATATTGGTGACATGTCACAAGTTGACACAAACATGGTGGTGATGTGGCATCACCATTTTTAAATATAGGTATATTTAGCGAGGGATTAATCCTTGGCTAAAGTTATCGAATTTTAAATAATATTAGTGAGGGATTAGCAAGGGATGTGGCCCTCGCTAAAAATTAGTGAGGAATTTTTTAGCTAATTAGTAAGGAAAATATGATCACTTTCTAAATTTAACGAGCTCTTTTTTAGTTACGAATTTAATGAGGGATAAATCCATCGCTAAAATGTAATTTAATTAGGAAAAATGGTATTTAAAAAATTTTATTTTTTTAGTAGTATAATGGTGATGGAATGATCAAGATATATAGTTGGAGTTCATACATAGCATTTGGACTTAAGATGGTAAAGTTATGGAAGATGTTATGGCTTTGTAGAATTTAATGGGGATAAAAAAATTTGAAATTCAACCAATATATATATATATATATATATCCTAATTCAACCCTTGAATATCTCCTGTATATGTGTGTGGGGTAGTATGAACTTGTAAAGCCTATAATGATGCCAATTGTTTATGCAAGCGAAGAAAAGTGCGAAGATTTATGGGAGAATATTAACAAAAAACTTATAAAATGATCTAATATTTTTCATAAAAACTTGAACAGATTGAATACTTATTAAAACTTGAATTTCACATGTTAATATTTATTTATTAGAAGTTTTTATAAGATATTACATTATTTTAAAGATTCTTCATTAATATTCCTCCAAGATTTTTATTGTAGAAACTTATATAATTATTAGTTAGGTTAACCTAATTAATTTGATTTTTGTTATTTTAAGAAGATATTCTTAGGTTTCAATAAGCAAAAAGACCTAATTTTAGGCTTGCTAGAAAGAATGTGAAATTTAATTAAACAAATTGAAATCACAAAATTATAATAATGATACGAACCAAATGGTATTATTTTGATTAAACTTCAGAGATAAGAAATATTTGTTACTAATATTAAAATTTATGTATACTACTTAGGGTCTTATTTATAACTTAAGTCTTTCATAAGCCTCTATATATATATATATATATATAGTAAAAGGAATTAGAACTAATGGGTATTTGGTTTAACTAATTCAAAGAGTTAAATCAGCTTATCTTAAAATTTCAAGTTTGGGCAATTTCCATTAATATACAAATATATAAAAATAAAGTGCGACATAAAAACTTATTTCATAATTTATGCAATAAAATGATTGTAAATATGTAAAAATTATTTTATAAATCTTAAAAACTGAAGGAGGAAATTCTGTTGTATCTAAAATAATTTATGTCGTTTTATGTTATAAATAAGTTTGCTCGCTCTTCTCAAACTAGACAACTTTGTGTTGCTTTTGGGGCTGGTTTTAAATGATGTTTGTCGCGCTAAAAAATATCTCATCTGCTATCTCTACTCAAAGGTGGTTTGGAGCTTTTGAAATTGTTTGACTCTAGAACGGTTTTCTGTTTTGCATGTGTTCAAGTTTATTTTATTGAATTTGTATGTTTGAGTCTTTGTTTATTTTAAAATAGTTTATGTTTCTGTTGGACTTTTAGTTTTTTAGTAATGACCTTTAGTTTGTAATCATTTTATTTTTCTTTGAATGACATTGTCTTTAATTCAAAAAGAAAAGAAAGAAGCAAACTTATGTGTATGCTATGCATAAAACAAACAACTGTTTATATTTAAAGTTTTTCTACTTAAAGAACATGGATTAAACTTTAAATGGGCATGAAAATTGAAAAGAACAAGGAAATGGCAAGTTCCCCCAAAAATTGATTAATTATAAAAAAGTAAGCAACTAAAAAAAAGGAAGACCAAAAAAAAGGAAGAAAGAAGGAAATAAATGGACATGAAAATGATTTTCTTGTAAGTTTGAAGCCATGGGCATCCATATGACAGCTATATATAGTCAAATTTACAAAAATAGAAAAAGAAAGCATTGAGCTATTGTTTTTGATTCTCTGCAACAGGCGAAATTGTTTGTGTCTAGGGTTTTCCTCTCTTCCCCCGGATTTCAATTCAAACAGCCACTGTTGCCGACGTCACTCCATCGCAAACAGCGTCATGAAGCTCACCGTCAAGACTTTGAAAGGAAGCCATTTCGAAATCAGGGTTCAGCCTTCAGACACTGTTAGTAATTTCACTTCCCATTCAGCTATTTCACGTTTTGTCTCTGGGTTTTAGTTGCCAATATCTCTCATTTCTCCGGTTTTCCTTTTGCAATCTCTATTTTCCAGCTGAAATACAATTCCGCTGCTGTATTCTACGTTCTGTATGATTGATTTAGTTTATTTCCAAATTTAGGAATTGGAATTGAAATCGTTGAGTTTGAGTAATTCAAAATCATTGTTGTTTTTGTTTAGCTAATTGTGGGCTAAATATTATAACTTTTAGTTTTAAACCGATGTACCTGTGAGTCCCCTGTTCTTTAGCTTGGTTGTTATTTGCATTGTATCCGTCAAAATAGTATTTTGTATTCTTTATATGGATATTTAAGATGGAAAGTTGCATTGTGTTGTGTTGACTTGTTTGTTCTTCTAGCTTCCTAATTTATGCAGAAGTCTTTCTTTTAACTTGGTGAACGATGAAGCTGAGATTTAGTGTTACTTGTTACATTTCAAGTGCATTTATCATTGCTGTTGACGCAATTTTGAGAGAGTTTGAGCCAATTACGAATTTGTCATTGTTTAGCAAATGCAAAACTGTATCTCGTTTGTTTTAAATATAACTGAGACGCTTTCTAGGATTATTTAGATTGATGCTTGACGGTAGGATAGTAATTTCTGTGTTGTTGTAGATTAGCTGAAATTTCATCATTTTCCCTTGAAGGTCATGGCTGTCAAGAAGAATATAGAAGATGTACAAGGAAAAGATAATTACCCATGTGGCCAACAATTGCTTATTTTTAATGGCAAGGTTTTGAAAGATGAAACTACACTAGCAGAGAACCAGGTCTCTGAAAATGGATTTCTTGTTGTCATGCTTAGCAAGGTACCTTCTTTACTAATATAGTTTTTGGCATGCTATTGTATACTGTAACTTTTTCTTGTTTAGAATTCATCCATCAAATTATCAATGATAGTGCTCATGTTTACATTGTTTGATGGATTGTTTTTGGATTTTCATTTCATTCAATTTAAAATATCAGTTAGTGTTCCAAAAATGGCTCATGACCAGCCAACAAGCTTACTGTTTTGTGTTATCCTAGAAATATTACATGACAATATTAAAGGGGTGAATCAGAATCCTAGCAAAAAATTCTGTTTGGGCCCAAAGTTGGAGGAATATAAATTGTCATGACCAAATATTGCCAACTCATTGATTGATTTGTCAATTATCATAGACTTCTCTAATTAGTTACTGGATGGCAATTTGATACTTCCACATTTTGCAAAAATTGAGATATAAGATGGTACCTTTGTGATTTAGTCTTCAGGCACTTCTGCCTAATGGGGTCAGTCTTTTGGGAGAGTTCTTTTCTTGGCTTATGTTACATCAACTAATATGGTTATGGTGTCATTCCACTAAACTTACAGTTGCAATTATGAGGCATAAGTGGTGGTGATGTCATTGTAATGTTTGTCTGGTGCTAAAAACTAGTGTAAAGCCAGCCTACCTGGCAGTCTAGACTGTAGAACAAGGTAATCCCAAGCCAAAGTCACATTTAGTTGCCCTAAATCTACTTGATATATGAACAAGATAGGAGGAAACAATTGAAATGATAAACAAGCCTCTGTATTTCCAACCTACTATACCATAGCAGTTTAAAGTTTTTGTATACTTCTATTATGTAAAAATTCAAGATAGTATTATAATTGGATGATCGCCTTACTTCCTTACTAGTACATCAGACTTTTTTATGTTATATACACGGCCATTGTATTTGAACCCTAAACCATTGTATGTTATCTACTTAAGGACAACGATCAGGAACTATTAATGGCTTTCTGTCACTATTAATTTAATGGAATTAATTGTTATCGTCGTTGTTGTTCGCCCATACATATGGTGCTCTAGTCCTAGATTGTGAAAGTTTCAATTCTTTGCACTTTATCATGGGGGAAGTGATGGTGATGAAATGCTAAAACTTTTGCCTAGACTCTTTCTCCCTCTCCCCTTCCCTCCCTGTTAGAACTTTGACGAAGTAAGATGGCTGTCATTTCTATTCTTTCATCTGTTCATATTTGTTAAATTCGCTTCTTTTTCAATATTTGCCCTCTTGCTTGTTTACTCTTACTGTGGTTGTGTTTTGGTTTGTCATTTGTGAAGATATTTTTGCATGATCTACCAATTGTTTTTCTCCATTTGCAGAGTAAAACTTCAAGTTCAGCTGGAGCTTCATCCTCTCAGGCATGCTTCTCACTCATTTTTATTGTATTTAGGCATTTAGTTTCTCTTTCTTGTCTTCACTGTTTGATATATGGATTATTCATGCATGTGTCAGCCTGCTAACAATCCATGTACGGCTGTATCAACAAAAAATTCCACTCCTGCTGTACCTGAACTTCCAGTACAAAGTACTCGGTGAGTTTTTCATCCTCTAGATGATTTATATCCGACTTATGTCTCATCTGCTTTTTAAATTATTTTTAAAAAAATAAATTTGGTTTTGCAGGTCTATGACGAACAGTTCATCTGCAGCGAACGTTACGACTACAAAGTATGGTGCATGAAATTGTCTCTACCTTTGTTAATCTACTGAGTTAATTCTAGCAAATTTTCTATTCATGAAGTTGCTATATTCTGCTGTTAATCAGTTATTAATTACTCATAAAGGAATGCTGATGGGAAAGTACCTTTTAATTGTTAGTTTTACATTCTAGAGTAAATATTACCACATAGTTTTACCTGAGAAGGCATATCATTTTGCTTTGTTTCCTCGTATTTTAACTGTTGACTATTGTGGTTTGCCGTTATCTCATAATTTTAGTGATAGGCATATTTTTTCTAACCAAATTATGTGTCATGAAGTTGATCAAATAATATAAGGAGTATTACAGTTTTCAATTCCTGTATGGATGCTTGGTTACTCACTTTACTAAAATTTTAGGATCTCAGTTCAATAATCTCAGTAAGATGTTTGCTAGCTTTGTATGGTAGTCTCTGCTTCTCTATTACGTGTTAAGTATAAAAATCCATGAATTGAGCAAAAATAGGGTTTCCTAACAACAACAGTACAAAATAGGTTAAAATTTAACAGCAACATGAAATCTTGTTTTTAAGAAAGTATGGTTATTGTGTTAGGGAGGATGTGAAACATTTTCCTTTTATCTTAAAAATCTTCTTGTAGAGTGATGGAGACTTGGTAGTATAGGATACCAATTCCCACATTGAATATTATGGGATGCTCAATGGGGTAGTTAAGCAGCTAGCTTTTAGGGTAGGGTTTCCCATCCTACTTAGGTACTTATCAATTGATATCAAAACCTGGTTGTTGGCGATTTCGGAGAGGACTACCCATGGATGGTTCTACTTGGCAGGAAGTTAAGTGCCATGGAGTGTAACTATCAAGACATCAGCTTTTTATGAGGGGCCAATCGATAGAGACTTGGTAGTATGGGATACCAATTTCCACATTGAGTATTATGGGATGCTCAATTGGGTATTTAAGTGGATTGGTTCTCCTACCTCAATAGCTAGCTTTTGGGGTAAGGTTCTTCATCCTACCAATCACAATACTTCATGTTTAAACTTGTTTACAGATGATTCTAGAATGGTATCTTTGTTTGCCTTTCCTTTCTCTTCAACTAATCAGCATATTCTGTCATCACTTGCGGAGGAAGACATACCTGTGAACTTGTGTATTGAAGTTGTTTGTCCCTGCCCCTTTCTAGTGATAGCTTATTAAAACAATTGCCTTGATTAATTTTGCAGTGTGCCTGTGGATACTTATGGTCAGGCTGCTTCAAATTTAGCTGTCGGCGGTGATCTTGAGCGGACTATTCAACAAATCATGGACATGGGAAGTGGCAACTGGGACAGAGAGACAGTTATACGTGCTCTTCGGGCAGCCTATAATAACCCAGAGCGTGCTGTGGATTACTTGTATTCTGTATGTCTCTGCTGTTCATGTCTAAATCTGTCAAAGTTTATGGATTTAAGTAATTCTGTTGTTCTATGTGAAGGGAATCCCTGAAGCAGCAGAGGTTGCCATACCAGTTCCTCATCACCCAGGCAGTCAGACAACTGAAACAGGAGGGGCCACTGCTGGAGGTGTTTCTGGGGCACCTAATACATCACCATTAAACATGTTTCCACAGGTAGAACTTATGATTGTGAATCCATCAACTGCCTTGCTATTTGCATCTTTTGCTGCTGCTAGTTGCGCTCTATCTTGTGCTGAAGGTTGAAACACTTGTAGGAGACAATTTCTGGTACTGGAGCTGGACTTGGATCTCTGGAATTCCTTAGAAACAATCCCCAGGTCAGTTTGTTGTTATGATAATTGCAGTGCTTCCGATCTTTTGAAGCATTTTTTATACATGGGAATTAGGAATAATAGGGGTAATTAGGGGAATTAGGAATATAAGGGTAGTTTGAGTATTTAGATATATTCTCTATAAATAGGTATCTAGGTTGTAATGAGTTATTATGAATGGAATTAGTCTTTCTCTTCCTCTCTATTTCCCTTCTGCCTTCTCTCTCTCTCTCTCTCTCTCTCTCTCTCTTCTACCTCTATCAATTTTTGTCATGCAAATCTAAGCCAGTAAAATATTTAATTTATATATGTTTAACTGGTATTTGACATAAAGACATTACATTTAGGTTCAAAGTGGAATTAGGACAATCGGTTTACCTCATTTTTGTTCATTCATGATGTTGAGTGGGACAATTCAAGTTCAGGGATATCTATAGGAAAAGTGATAAATTTAATTCCTTGACTTTCTCCTCTAGTATGCAACAAGAACAAGCCTTATTCGACTAATTGACCTCACTGTAGTCATTATACGAGTGATATCACTTGTGCCTGTATAGACGGCTGTGGCTGGACAACATCCTGCACATAATTTGCAATTCTTATCGAACTTTTAATTTTGATTTGGTTGTTCTTAACTATCTGTTTCTTTGTGTGTGCTTTTTCAGTTTCAAGCGTTGCGATCAATGGTGCATTCTAATCCTCAAATTCTGCAGGTATTTATTTTCTTAATTACCCCCGTCTTTTGTTCTGTAAGTCTGTTGTCAATGTCTAAAGAACAAGACACTTCATTGCAGCCTGTACTTCAAGAGCTTGGAAAGCAGAATCCTCATCTATTAACACTAATTCAGGAGCATCATGCTGAATTTCTCCAGTTAATGAGTGAACCCATGGAAGGTTCTGAAGGGTAAGTATATTGATTGTCATATATGGTCCAGGACTTGATGCCATACTCATACTTCTGTTATAAAGTTACATTTCTTGTCTGTTGACCTCTTGGCATATCATTATGATATGTAATATGAAAGTGATTCTTTGCAATGTGTTGGAGGGTTCATTTTCTTCCCTTGAATTTGTTAGCTCGTGAACTTTTGGAATTGAGAAAAATAACCTGTCTATTGCATCAGTGACATGTTTGACCAGCCTGAGCAAGACATGCCTCATTCCATCAATGTGACACCAGCGGAACAGGAGGCAATCGGAAGGGTATGCTGGTCTTCATTTTCTTGGCCTTGGATCCCTTAAATTGAAGGATTTCTCATTTCAGTCAAAATCTTTAAACCTGGACTGTCCAAATCAGACCGTGTATCAGTTCATCATTTTGCGATTGAGTGAAGTGAGAATTTCCCCAACGGGATTCAAATCTTATACTACTCCGTTTTCAAATATCAGAAAAACTACTCTATGTTTCTTTTGTTTTTTATTATAAGCAAAACTACAAATTTCAAGAAGCATTAATTACATTTTTCGTAAATTGTCCCTCATAAATTGATAGTATCATTTAAATTAGAGGGAAAAAGTAAACATTAATCACAAGGGCATTCTAGTTCAAATATTTCAATTTCAAACATAATGATTATGATTAAGTAATTTTCTTAAACTCTAAGTGGGTTGAAATTTTCCTATATTCAAAAACAGAGGGAGTATTTCCTAAACAAGTGCTCGTTAGTCCTTTCCACTTCCCTGACTTTCGCCTCTTAATTTTCTATGGTTGTTGATTGCTTCCTACTTACTTTGCCTAGCTTGAAGCAATGGGATTTGATAGAGCCTCAGTCATAGAGGCATTTTTGGCATGTGACCGCGACGAGCAATTGGCAGCCAACTACTTATTGGAGAATGCTGGGGATTTTGAGGATTGAATTGAATCACTAACCTACATTGATTTACAGTTTTCTTTCCTTTTTCCCAAGATGTGTCTTCCTCGGCGAATTTAATCGGGAAGAGTGTGTACTTGGACGATCCACGTGTTTCACTGAATCAGTGTGAGTACTACGCAACTGGTTTTAGAATCCAGTTTCTATGACAGAAGGCTGAAGGTGTCTTCCCTGAGAAATAACCAAGGTCAAAACTGAAGTTGATAATTTATGGTATTATTATGTATTAACTCTTGTTAACTTTGTGTTTTGCAGTTTGAGCTTCAGCTGTTTTGATGATGTATTTTTTTTTAGGCCTGAGTTCCTTTGTTGTTTTGGTTAGTGGAAGAGGGGATTTATTGGATTGTGTATTGCTGCTGAGTAATACAGTGCTTGATTTTACTTGTCTCAGTTTCAAGTTCTTCCTTCACTCTCCTGTCCAAGATACACAGAACTCTGGTGTTTTTTTTTTTTTTTTTTAACTGAACTTTGGTCATTTGGTTATTGAAACGGTTGGGGGTATTGTTTTGGAGTTTCTTGGTTTGATGGCAATTAGTTCATGATGAAATTGTTGTAATTGAATTATATATTAAATTAAAATATTATATAAAAGCTATAAGAATGAGAGCAGGATAGCTTAACATCAGGATTTGTTTTTGTTTTATAAGAAAGTTTAGGGTGAGTTAGGTTTCAGAACTTAGCAAGGTCGAAGCAAGTTTCCAGGTTTGAAGTATATGTAGAGGTGCTTATAAATTGTTTACTAATAGAATTGGGAATAAGGGTTGACTTTGATAAATTGTCTATTTAAGCCTGTTTTTGTAAGGGTTTGAATTTGAAAAATTATAATTTTTTAAAGAAATTGAGCTTTGAAGCTTAATCTTGATAGGGTTGAAAAAAAGGGTTCAAGTGGTTCATTTAGGCATTTTTTTTTCACCCTTGTATTTAAATTTTAAAATATATATTTATATTTTAAAATTAAAATTTCTATTATTTATTAGAATTAAAAATTTTATTTTTAAAAAATAAAAAAATTTAATAAAAATGGGCTCACTATCAGGTCATGAGTTCGTTGCATAAAGATTGAATTTTAAAAAATGATCAATTTTGGGGTACTGGCTTATGGGCTAAGCGGCCTGTTGATTTCTTGGCTCTAGCTATCAATAAGGTTTCATATTTATAATTCGATTTGATCTTATAATTTTGTAAGTTATAGTCAAATTCTTAGCAAATGCACTTACCTTTTTTTGGTCAAATAATGTAATTACTACATGAATTTTGAATTAGCAACTAATAATCAAGCCATGAAATGTCAAGAGATATTCATTATCCAAAAACAAAATACTTTCTTTTTATATGTATTGGGGTTTAAACTGAGTAGTAATATCTCACATTTTCATTGACTAAATGCGTTTTAGAATCATTAACAAGTTTCATTTGACTTCTTGAGCATCGTCTAAACACCCACTAACACCACTCAAGTTAGATTCAAAGCCACCATTTTGGATTCAACCCAAAATGACAAAAATAGTTAATTGCAACTTGAGCAGAATGAAGTAGAGCTGATAAGAGGATTGGTATATTTGAGCCGGACTTAGTTTGAGCCTACTTGAATAAGTTCAAACTTATAGAACTCGAATAACCGAGCTCGGCCTAACCTCTTCGAGCTAGCTAGAATACCTAAATTATCAAATTTTTTTATTTTTTAAATACATTTTAATTTAATTTTCACTTTAAAATTAAATATTTTTTATTATATAAAATATATTTCTTGGGATACTTAAACCATGCGTAAGGCTCACAAATTTTTACAAAAACTATGTGGGTCTTAAAATCAAAAAATCAATAATAAAATACATTTTAAATATTTTCTAAGATATTTTGTAAATTTAAAATAATAAAAATATAATGATATAAATACTTTCAATTTTTTTAAAACATCTATAATAATACACTCAAATATATGGCATCTTAATATAAAATGACACAAAACTTAAAAAATTAAATAATATTTATTATATTTTATATATTTTTTAAAAGATATACTTTTTTACTCAAATAGTATGTCTTACCCAAACATTAAAAACTTATTATTTTATTAAGCACAGCTCTGGGTTGAACCAAACAACTAGTCTTAGAATGAAGTCGCCACGTGTCAGAATTGTTTTGATTTCCGGGGATAATCAATAATGAGTACTATAATCATGCTCTAAATATTACGGACGAGGTATCTCTCATTCATATAGTGAAGTCTCATATATTAGATATACAAATTAAATACTCCCTCAATTTTTTATTATTACAAAAATTATTACTTTTTATTTATTTTTTATCTAAACAAAATTACTCATTTCAATAAATATTTATTACACATTTGATAAATTATCCTTCATAATTTATATTACCGAAAAATTAATACATACTTATGTTGATTAATATAGGATATTTTAATTTAATTTTTTTATTTTTAGATATAATTATTATGGTTAATTAATTTTTTTAAATTGTATAGTATAATTTTTTTTATATACAGAAATGGAGGGAGTGTATGTAGAAAGAAAAATAAAATAAATAACATTTTTCTGGTGGAGTCGATGTCCAGTATGTATCCTGAGAAATGTATTTCAGTGCATGTTCTTCCTAGAAGGGTTCATATTTAATTTAGGCATTCATAATTTTTTTTGGTATTTTTAATTTAAATAGTTATTGTTTTAAGTTGATGATTAAAATATTGATAACATATTACATCATGTATCATTTAAGCAAAATAAAATAAAACAAAATTTCAATTAAAAAAAAAAAGGTGAGCCATTGTAATCATCACCAGTATCATCATTGACATTAACATCAATATATTTTAAAAAGTTATATAAAAGTCACATTATCAACAAATTAGGGACTATGTGCTTGTGCTTCACAGACAAATGACTGACGAATTTTGGGGCCCAGAAGTCAGACCATTCGTGTCAAAACTAGGTGGTCTAGGTTTAATAAAAATTTATTTTTATATTTTAATAATTTAAAAATTTAATAGACATAGGATTTAAAATAAAAATAACTGTCATTTTGCCCAAAAAAAATTATTATTCAAAATTCTTAATTTTTGAACCATTAAAATAATATTTAAAGGAGTTAGATACCATTACAATGATGAGTATCGAAGTCTAACTCACATAATTTTTTTAATTTTAATTATAAGTCACTTCATATTTTTTTAATTTTATTTGTAATTTATTTTTAATATTTTTATCAGAATAAAAAAAATTTAAATTTTATTAACTTTATTTAAAAATTTAATAAAATGTTAACTTTACTCTAAATATTTAATAATTTTTTAATATTTAATAAAGATAGAATGATAAAAATAAAATTATTGAAGTATCTTATAAATAAAATTAAAATAAATATTATCTTTATTCTATAAATAAAACATAAGAGTTCAACGTAAGTGCATGGGTCCATACTTCATATTTACACCACCTATGCTTCCCCCTGATGTAAAGGCGAATGACGTAAGATCCGTTCCCAGATGTCCGTTCCGTTAGTTGTTCCCTAAATCGAATGACCTTTGATGGGCACCGCGATGAGACTGCACGCGTTCTCTATTTTCATCGCCACTTTACTATCGTGTTTTGATTAAAATAGTACTTTTGATATTTTACATTAGTAAAAAATAAAATTAATTATTTAATTCCCTAACATTTATTTGTAACGTTTAGGACTGAATTGGTATTAATTTTTTATTGGATATTTATTTGTAATGTTTGAAACCCTTTTTTTGTAATTTTTTTATCAACTAATAATAAAAATAATTAATATTTAATGAAAAAACTGTCATGAGCATGAGTACAAAAAGAAAATTCATTTCAAAAGATTATTCTTGCTAGGTGGGAGAGAGAAGAATCTTTATGTTCGTAGTTAAACAATAAATATTAGGCATGTTAAAGACATTAAGTTTTAATAGACAACGAAAAGGCTCTTGAGTTTCCTTATCACAGTTCACTCAAATGTAAAAAGATATAAAATTTTGATAGAACAAGTGTATAATTTTATTGAAGTGTAAAAAATTACAGACTAAAACTAAGAACCGAAAAAGGGCTAATAAATGTAAAATGTGACTCTTGATTAAGTGTTGACTAGCTTTTTTTTATTTTTTTTTATTTATAGTGTCGAATAGCAAAAACCCTTTCCTTGGGACTTAGCATTATTTGCTGAAAAATCAAAAATTTCGCGAAACTTATGACACAGTCTCTCTATTTTGATAACTAGCCCGTTTCATCGAACTACTCGAGCGTAGATTTCGGCATTATTTAAGATCGTGTCTTTGTGCCGACGATCTAATATTTACAGTTGACAGGATTTTGGTATATTTACTTGTTGTGTACTTTATTGAGCTTTGGAACCGACCTCTTTTATTTACATTAGGCTTGACGTTTTGATTACTTAGCCCAACTACTTTTTGTAACTTATTTGAGCAACGTTTTATATTTAATCCAAACACCTTCACATTTATACACTCCACTTTTATTTATAAGTGAGATGCTCGTCGTTCATTAGATGAAATCCAAACATCATTGTTCATTTGTCACAATATTAGCCACAAATAAGTTCTACCATTCCACAAATCAAAATTTCCAAATCACTTCCAGAGATTCCTACACACCCACAGCATTGTTGTCCATGAGAAGGGAAGGATAAAGCCCTAACAAAGCAAGGATATACACAACCCAATCTCTTAATGATTAGATGGTTTTCTAAAATTATAAGGACCAATAAATAGATGAAATTTGAAGGAGAACACAATTAAATTATAAATGTATTAAAGTTATAGGAAATAAATTATTAATTTTTCCCATATTATATAAAACAATATGTGAGTTATCCACCAGCATGAGGTCAAAATTAAAATCACATTATTGTGAAGTTATCAATCAATGCTATAAATTCATATAATTCACAGTGATGGAGTTAGGACCTTTTGTTAGGAGCGCAAAATAATTTAATAATAAATTAATTTTTTTAAAATAATAATTATGCTATGACTAAAATTATAATAACAGAAATAATTTTATCATCATTTTTTATTTTAAAAATTATATTAAATGAATTAATATGGTCTTTTATATTATAAATATGCGCTTCATGTATTACCTAAATCATTAAAATATTATATATTTAATAAATTTTTTAACCTAAATGTTTTTCATCTAATTTAGAGGGTGTAAAATAATAAAAATAGGGGTGTAAAGTTATAAATTTTATATGTCCTATTTATAATTTTTTGCAAAGTGAGAGGGTGCAACCCCTCACTGATATATATATATATATATATATTTATATATTGTGTGTGGGTATGTAGTGCGCAGTGTGTACACACTATTAAAAATCAAGCAAATCCTATTCATCATGAACCTCGTGTGGATCGTGCATTTTTACTAATTCCTTAACCTTTTATATGTATGTATATATATATATATATATATATGAGGGGGATAGCTTTAGTTTACGTGAATATATATATATACACACACACACACATTCTTTTTGGTAGTAAATATATAATTATTGTATTATATAAAAAATAATTATTGTATTCATCCACGCGGAAGTAGGATCTCCAGAGAGCATATAAAAAAGAATAAAAAAATGTATCTTTTCTAATATTTTATTCTATAAAAAATAAAATTAATTTCACATTTTTCTGAAAATGCTTAATTTTATTGGGAGGAAAACTTATATATTTAATTTTATGCATTCAGTATATTATTTTTAATTAAATTAAAACATATAAATTTTTTATAAAATATTTATTTATAATAAATTTTTATTATTAATTAATTAATATATTAAAATTCACTTGTGATAATTTAATTAAATATAAATATATTAAATATATAAAATTAATTATATAAATTTTATCATTTATGGTGGTTTCAAGTGATTATTTCCAAGCACTAACAGACAAATAAGAATTGGCCAAAAAAAATAAAACAGACAAATAAGAAATTGCAGAGTTTAGATGGAATCAACGACGATAAATTAAAAAAAAAAAAAAAGGACAAGTCTTCGACATAAATTTTCCACCCCCATCAAGAAATCTCGACCGTCCAAATCTACATCGTACGGCCCCATTGAATTTATCTTCTTCTCGTAGTTTTCACACAAAGGGACATACTCTTCTCAGAGATCAGAAATCAGAGTCAGAAGAAGAAGAAGAAAGCGAAAAGCATAATCATCGCATAGGAAGAAGAAGAACCCTTCTCTCTCTCTCTCTCTCTCTGAAACGTGGGGCTCTGAATCTTGACTGTAATTTGAAGTCTCGGTCTCTCTTTCCCTCTTCCCCCCTCTCTCTGATCTTGTATGCTTCAATGGAAATTCATGACGGAGAGAGGAAGACGGCCGCCGATATGGCTTTGAATGGATTTTCTCCGGTGACTTCCACTAGGATTGGCTGGAAATCTCGACGGAGATCAGGTACTACAAGTCTGTTTGATTTAGCTTGTTAATTTTGAGTTTAATTTTCTTCAATTACACTTCCATACTCGTTTAGATTCACAAATCCATACTTGAAAGTGTAGTTTCTAAGCTGTTCGTATGTGATTGAATGATTATGGTGATTTTCGAACGCAAATTGTAGTTGAATTCTATTCTGGGCATCGCCATTGCCCACCCTTCTCACAATTATATAGTAATACTAATTTTTCGATTTCACATATTTTAAATAAATTTTTACATTTTTGTTCTATTAATTTCTGGGTTTGATGTGTGCGCAAAATTGTTCACGAATTACATATTGCTTTTTTTCCGGGGGCTTCGAGAAAGAGAAAATTGCACCAGTAGTTAACAGTTGTCAGTTGGTATGACTTTTTGGTAAGGTTTACTTTGTTTGTTATGATTAGCATACCAAACTCCGAGTCTTTCTCATTTTAGTACGTAAATTATTATAAAATCCCAGTTTATATTAGCAGAAGAAAGGAAGTAAAGAAAATTACTAAATTAATCCATAATTAATAATTATTTACTTTGCACTAGCTCTTCCCGAGTAGCAAGTGCTATTCCTATAGTAACGTTATCCCTTGGACTTTGCAAAAGATATTTAATATTTTCACCATATATTTTTTTATTCACAAAATGGAAAATGTATCTTTCGATTCCAAATCTCACCCCTTATCTCCGATACAATATAACTTTGAAAGGCTTTTTATGCTTGTTACTTGTTAGTGCATGTTTGAGTGTATATACTTTATATCATATTCAGAGACCAAATAATTGAAATTTGTATCGTTCCGAAATTTATATAAATATATATATATATATATATATTTGCCTTTTGCTTTACAAAACTACCACTTGGTTGTTGGGGTTGAGAAGATCAGCAGACATCTTAGGTTACGATTCTTGGAGAACTCAATTTTGATGTCCCCATGGTTATTGATGGCTCTTATCGATTAAAATCTAGTATTTTAGTCAAAATTTCTGTTTGGCATAGTGTGACAACATTAGCATTTGAGCACACACCATTGTTTTTTAATTCTTACTCAATCAAGTTTGAAGCAATGATATGCCATTGATAGGCTTTGCCAAACCTGAGTAAAAGTAAAGTCTTTATTCACTCAAGAAAACGAAGTCTTTTCAGCTTCGTCCAGCAAGAACAAGATACTTGTCGGTTGCGTATAACTTGTGATAGATGGGCCCTACATTGTCAAACATTTTTAGGTGCCATTGGGCTGAAATTCAAGCAGGCTTCATGTTCATGCTTGCAAATGAATTTTTCAAGTTTTTATCGCCGGTTTTTCATTAATAATATAAGATGAATGAATTTTTCTTAAAAGACTGAATCATGTGTTGTTGAGATGTAAAATTTCTCCATTTTAAAATTTCTTGTGAAAACATGTAAAAAATAGTTAAAAACTGCAGTTAAGTTGTCTCTAAAAATAGAGGGCGGATATTTTATTTAGCTGCAAAACCTTAAATTTATGTGTGATCTTCATGTTTTAATGGGTATATCAGAAGAACAAGAAACTCTTGGTACTTGGTATAAGCATGTAAATGAAAAAATGAATGCATTTATAGCCTTTATTAATTCCATTTGTTTAAGGAGGAATGTTCATTTTGGCAGGTCTCCTCCCTTATTTCAGAAAGAAATTAAGTGCCTAAGATATTTAGGGTTTGATGGAAACAGTGCATTTGATATATCTTTTTCACCCAAATGAACCTGTTATAAGTTTAAGCTTCTGGCTTAAAATGTGTTGGTGTGAACTTCAATAGTAGAATAAAGGTTTGGATCTCAGGCTATGTTTGGTCCTTGGAAAAACTATTCTTAAAAGACTTCGTCCATATGAAAAAAATTTCTATTGCTTGTTTCATTAGAACAGTTTTTATGGTCACATTTTTATTTGGGCATAAATGCAGCACTTGACAGTCCCTGGTGATAATGTTAGCTTACAGTGACAGTGGCATTAGAAAGTTCTTAACAATAGACTGAAGTATAAAAATAATATAATTTTCTTATATCTTTATTAAATAGAAAATTTCCTAATTTTCCAAGGAAACGAACTTGAGTGATGGAGGAACAAGGCCCTCTTCTTAGCAGCTTGCACTTCTCTTGCTAAATTTTTCTCCTGCTTTGTTCTGTTTCCTTCATGGGTAATTTCGCTTTAGTTGTGCAAATAATATGGATATGGTATGGCTAGATTAGTTGGAAATAGAATGGTAACTTGTTGCCCACAGCTAGCGGGAAGAATTTAGAGGTATCAAACGATACTGCAAGTGCTAATATACCACCCAGCAAACAGGAAGAACTTCCTTCTGCTGAGGAGATGATGCAGGACTTCACTGCAGTTCCTGTTCCTGAGCTCTCTGAGCGTCGAAAGGCGTTATTTGAACCATTAGAGCCTATACAGAACATTAATGGCCGACGGCCATCAGCTGAATCTTTACTGCCTCCTCCTGACTTTGAATCTGCAAACTATCCAAAGGGATGGCTGATCGGGAAGAAGCGAAAGCTTGTCAATGTTGATGTCGTCGAAAGCATGCGCAGGATTGCCATCCAAGAAATGAACAGAAAGGTGACGATACTTTCATCCCCACCTTAACTTTCCAATCCCTTATCAATAAATAAAAAGGGGGAAAATATCTTATAAGGATACTTGGAGAGTTTTAATATCAAAGAAGGACCTTAACAATATGAAATTTCACTGTACTATCTTGGTACCTATAGATTTTATAAGAAAAGATCTAATTAACCCTAATGTTTAATGAAGTTTAATAATTTAATGGGTTGTTGTTAATTACATGAGGTTACTTGTCAAAACTTATATGGATGTTTGTTTATGCAGGACTAATACTTTTACAATTAAACATGTGTCGGCAGTTTTTGCAACTTGTTCATTTCCAAATAAATTGTTATTAATTACATACGGGTACTTGTCAAAATCTAAATGAATACTTATTGATACATCCATAAAATCTTAGTTGATTAGGTCTTTTCTTACAAAATTTTATTTTCAGATACGTGCTTGGTGGTGCTTTGCAATTTCAGATTTTTAAGGTTTTTCTTTGATATAAAAACTTTCTACAAGTTCTCAGGTGATATTTTCCCTCTTTAAAAAAAAAGAAGAAGAAGAAGCTGAGATATTTTGGTGAATTTTTGGTCATAGGACCGGGAAATCGACGGGCTGAACCAACAATTGGAGGAGGATGCAAGATGTCTGGAGCATCTGCAAGTGCAGCTTTTGGAAGAGAAGAGCAAACGTGCTCGAATTGAGAGAGAAAATGCAATGCTTCAAGAACAAGTGAACATGCTCATGAACATGATACAAGAAGAAAATGAGCAAATGGCTGATGATGATGAAGGCCATGATGAACCATAATTAGATTATTAGGAGTATTGCAGTATTATTGCTATATATTATGCTCCATGTGTGTGTCTGTTTATTAATTCTTTTTCTCAAGTAAGCTTTGGTGGGGTGTGCTTACGTTTTGCTACTATATATAGTTGAGTCAGTGGAGTGCATGTATTTATAAACTCTTCCCAGGTTAGCGAAAAGGTATCAAATCGAACTGAACATAGTATTTGTTTATTGAACAAAGAATAATGTAAATCTCTCATGAACTGTACTGTATTATTGCGGTTTATTAGTGTCATGCTCCTCTCAATTGGAGAGAATGCAATTCTACATCACATGTTTCTTCGTCTTCGTTTATTGACTTCAACCATCTTAGCATAACTGACAAATTTAGCATAACTGACAAATTGATTTACTTCTTTCAGTCCTTGACATAAAATATTTTCTAAAAGCCTTGCTTAATTTTTGGTACAAGACATCTTATAAAATTTGATGAAGCACTAATGATTCATTTTCAAAAAGGCCTAAATATTCAATTGATTTATTTGGGCGATTTGTTTGACTTTTTGATTTAAAGGTGAGGTTAAATTAAGGATAATTTGGGACTTCTATAGGATTTTTTTTTTGAAAAATCAATACTCTTAATTAATTTCAACCATATTTTCTTAATTCATGTGATTTGATTAGAAGTACCTTATAAATTAGACCGAAGAGAGTATGATAACTTATCTAAGTGTGTGTTTGGTTTTAATTTGTTAAAAGTCCATTAATTGAAAGTTTATCTGGTAAAAGTAAATTTAAGAAAAATCAATTGTTGTAACAAAATTTATATTTGGATATGTTTTTTTTAAAGTTAGTTTGATAAACTAAAAGTTGTTTGGATTAATAATGATTTGTGCTTTTAAAATATATAATAATAAAAAAGAACATTAATTTATGACAACTTGTAATTATTGTTATACAAATATAATATATTAAAAATGTTTAAAAAATGTGAAAAAAACTAAAATAACATAAAATAATAAAGGAGGAGTCAAGATGGGAGTCACAAGAAGAGATGACAAAATAATAAGGGTATCACGGTCAATACGAGTCATTAATAATTGCATCCTTTACGTTACATTTAAAAAGCAAGCAAATTGAGCTTTCGAAAATTGACATTCAGACCCATTAAAAAGTACTTTTATAAAACACACTTGATCTCTTTAAAATACATCTAAACAATTTTTCACATTCTAAAAGTTAAAAAGTCTTTTTGGGATGTAAAAAATAACTCACCCAAGCGGACTTACAATTTCTAACTTCTTCCATTCTTGAGGTAACTAAAATTTGTATGAAAATCTAAATTTTAGTGTTCATGTTTGTTTGCATTGGAAAAAGATGGTGATATAAAAAGATATGTAGTCTCCTTGTATATAAAATTTATACCTCATGTTTAGGTCAAATCAAAACTTATAATCCTCTAGTAGGATAGGAAGATTATATTTATAAAACACCTCAATGATTATTAATTATTATATTATATTTACTCTTTTACTCCTATTAAATGTTGATAAGGTTATTAAATGTTAGCTTATTTTATTTTTGAAATTTATTTATTTAATAGGTATAAAGTTAGAAACTTGTTGCATTTAGACAAAGCTAAGGACATTTAACATTTCCAATTAAATCAAAGCAATTATATCTTTTATAGATTATTTTCTCTAAATAAATCCTTATTATTAATATTATTAACACATTAAAATCTATTTGTCATGATTTGATTGGATATAAGTATATTAAGAACATATAAGATTAAGTATGTAAGTCTTGCCCATATTTATTAGGGAAAACCTTATATACCTTGCTTTATATACTTAATGTGCTTATTTCCCATTAAATCAAGACATGTGAATTATTATTTATTATATAATAGATTCTTGTTATTAATATTTGATAAGTGCATATTTTATAATTAAATAGATATAGATTTTGATTTGGATTTAATTATATTTATTAAGATTTCATATCTATTTAATTAATATTTATATATTTTTTCCCATCACTTAATTATAAGATAAAAATAAATTTTAATAAAAAATCTGTTTATATCTTTCTTTTTTTAATATTTTACAGAAAAAAAAAAGAATAAAACAAATTAAACGAAAGAATGAAAAGATAAATATATGCGTGCGTGCTTGCGTGCGTGTGTGTAGGGAGAGAGAGAGGGAACAGTGGCTGCAAAATCTCACGCACATTCAAGGAAGCAAATCTCACGTGTATGCAGGTAGTAAGAGGAGCAAAAGATTCAAGAAGACGTGTATGCAGGTAGTAAGAGAAGCAAAAGATTCAAGAAGATATATTGCACGTGATTTATTTACACACATATATATTAAAATCCCACGTTGAGAAAGAATATGGAAAGAAATCTCTACTTTAATTATAAATACTCTCTTTCATTAAGGAAGGAGGCATTGAATCATTTATATGAGTATTTAAAAAATTCTTTTTAAGATATTTAGAGCTTGTAGAAATATTTTGAAAGCTGAAAGCGAGATCGTTGAAAAATTCTACAAATTATAATTATTTTTTTCTATTCTTCAATTTTTTCTGTGATCATTTTTCGTGATTGATGATTTTAGAACGGTATTATTTGATTTTATTATATGTTTCTAAATTACCTAGTTGGGATAAGGATGTAGCTCAATTGGGGAATTAGTTTTTTACTTTCTTTATTTTGACTCTTTACATTTATATTTATGAATATTTTTGCTTTTTTAATTTTTTTAATTTTTCTTGTTTTTTATATTGATTTAATAACTAGCCACCATTTAATTAAATCTATCAGTAATTTTGATAGACTGGGAGGTGAAGAGAGATCTAGATCTAGAGAAATAAATATAAATAACTAGGTTAGAGATATTTTTAAAAAATTTGTGGTGACTTAAATTATAACTTCATGGTTTAATTAGTTGCTTGGGTATTGTAAGAATGAATTCAATGCTAATTAAAAATGAACTAATAATTCAGGAGAATATCATGACAATTTAGGAATAATTGTCACTATATTTGATTAAAGAATCAACTCAAAGGGTAAAAATTAGCAACCTATAGGATGAATCTTAAACTTCAAAGCTTCAAGTAATTGTGTTTTTATCATCATTATTTTATTGATTTATTTTTATTATATTTTCATCAATTATCCATTTTATCTATTTTTATCTAACTATTAATTATTTAAATTAAGAAAATTGCAACTTTCCTATAAGTTTGACACTTGAAATACTTCGAATAATTTATTACTGTAATCTCATATACTTGTGAGAGCGATGAATATTATTAACAAATTAAAATTCATTTGTCATGTTTTGATTAGATATAAGTATATTAAGTATATAAGACTAAATATGTAATTCTTGCCCTTAATATTATTCATAACTAATTCATTTCAGTCCCTATCTCAGATATATTCACTTATTTTTTAGATCAAAACAAATAATAATGTTATATATAATTTTATCAACATTTACATTATAAAACTCATGTCTTTTTTTGTCATTTATACATTTAAAATTGACTTTGATTAAAATTATCTAAACATTTTTAGTTTTATCAAAATTAATTTCAAAAAATAATATTCAAACATAATCATATTATAACAAAATTAATCATATTAATCGATTTTACCTAATAGATGTCCAAATGTGCCCAATTAATTCGGGATGACACATTTGACGTAGTTGATGTGTTTGGACAAGGTTATTCCATGCTAGAGAGGCTTAGGTCCAAGAAGCCACTACTTTGAGGGGAATAAAGCTTAAACTTTGATCCAGGGATATGTGGATGGGATGCCGAAAAACTGACCAGGACACACAACACCCTCGTGTGATGGTAAAAAACAGAGAGCAAACTATATGAGTGTGGTATAGATTATAGCAGTTTAGGTTTCTTAAACATCATTTTAGAATTTAATTTTTGGAGGTGTATATGAAAAACATTACTTGAGAAAGAATAACTCTTTAAATGACGCTTAGATTTTTTGAGAGATTAATTTCATGACTACTAACTATGAAGAAACCTTAATTAACCAAAATAAATAAATAAATAAAGTAGATAGCAGTTGTTGAATGTCCTCTTAAATTACATTGGGCAGTAGTCATAGGTAGAGTAATGAAAAATTTTTAAGTAGATTAAATGTGCCTCATGATTTGCAGTCTGTCTAATTAAAATACTATATAAGTCATCTAAATAAATTCTTATGCTTTATTATTTTGATTGATTTTATTCTTATAATATTATTTTAATTAATTTTATCTGAATGTCATGTTTTTATTGAACAGACTATAAATAATGTAGTGTACCCAACTTACCAAAGAATTTCTCATCATGGATATGGTCTTTGGTTCTTGAAATTTATTAATCTAGGCAATATATTTTTTCCCTTTTTTCTGTACATATGTAACTTAGATTCCCTCTTTTGCAGCATGCTCTAAATTTGAGCATTTTCGTAATCATGTAATACTTACCTACAAGCTTAATAATAAATCACTTAAACTTCTATTATATTTTTTGTGATGTCAATGAACAATGTGATCTATACGTGCTTTAGTAGAGAGAATGATGTAACTTCCAACCAAGGATAGAGATCGTGTTTCTTTTTGACATTGTAATTTTGCTAGTTGATAAAGATAGATCCATCCAGGCAGCAGCACAATAAATAGGGAATACACATGAAGTTAATATGATAGCCTAAAAAAATATAAATTAAAATTTATAATAAATAAAATTTAAGAGATTTATTCCCTAAGTTTTGTGAAAAATTGTTGAATTTTCTAAAATAAAATAAAGATAAATTATTATACAACTATTTTGCTATTTAAAGAAAAAAAAAACAGGAAAAACAACTTAAAACGGTTAACAGATATAAAAATTCATCTCCTGTTATTTGACAATTGAAATGAAAACAAACACGATCCTATGAATTGCCACATACTGAAATATACCTCTCTATCATTGTAAACTTCATCAAGGCAAAAGATGCCATGTGGATTTTAACATTTAAAACACAAACATCATCATATACATACATTTCACATATAGTCACAAGTCGTCAGGTAAGCCTACAACTGCTTAAGTAGTAAGTAACATTTTGTCAGGATTCTTCATCAATATTGTGAATCTCTGAATCCCCGCGTTAGAAGTTGAGGTACAAACAAACAGCAAACATGAAATTCCCTCTCAAACATTACTTCATGTTGTTGCTTCTAACAATAGGATCAGATTCAGATCACCACTATCTAACTCGATTAACAGAATCATCTGACATCGGGAATAGAAACTGTGGCAAAGAAGCTATCCTTGGAAGATTAAGTAGCAGCTCACCTACTGATTCCTTCCTGCGCATGCCACTGCCACTGACCTGCTTGCTTCCAGAAGCATCATCATCCCCAGATTCAACAACTGTACTTCTACATGATAACTCCAGATCCAAGTTTGTTTTTTGTGATACTCTCGCACTACCATCAGGATTATAATTTCTCACATTTGTGTCTTGTGCAGTTGCAGGATCCTTCTGCAGAAGGCAACACAATGAATTAACCCTTGACATGAGAAACTGTTCGTCCGAGGCTGCTGTGACTAGGGAGTCGTTGAGCAAGTATTGGGTGATTTCTTCCAGGATTTGTCTGCTTTGATTGTCACTAGCAAAAGCAGGATTGCCAGATGTCATCTGTTCTGAAATGCAATTTCCAATGTGGTTAACTATATCATTCATTGACATTGATGGGTGAAGTCCGGGCACTATGATCTGATCCAAATTGTTGAGAAACTTCAGAGTGTCAGCTTCTCTACTCAGGTGTCTGATTCTCTGAGGCTCCATAACTACACACAGATAAATAAGGCACACTCAATTTAGTTATGGATGATGGTGAAAAGATGATATGGCTAAAATTGCGTGTGTTAATACAACGAGAGCAAAAGGCCAGCCTGTGTGATTGGAAATGAGGACCGGGCAGTAAGATATCACTTGACGGTAACTATCAATAAACTTACAGATTGTACATCATTTGGCCTCACCCACTCTAAGTTAAACATGAAAAATCATGGAGGTTTGCTTCACCCTCAGCAATAGAGAAATTGAACGACCAATGCTGTAGTCCCAAAGAATGAATGTGCGCTTTTACCAACTTGATGAAACCAAAATTGTTCCCCCAAAAAATGCAAAAGAGAGATAATACACATCACGATAATTGTCACCACTCTCAGTCAAAGAACACAATTGTACCTGAGCTAGGAGTAGAAGTTATTTCCTGCGAAACATTTTCAAAAGCTCTGCCCACAAGATTGTGTTCACTTTTTGAGGAAGATGACTGAACCGCTGATTCTGATTCCACATCCTGCAACTCAAACAAACCAGCTTGTCCTCTGCCTATTCTATTCAAAGAAGCAGTTGATTCAAGTTGATCATCAATTGCAGTTTTGAGTTCAAAATAAGGAGAATCCAACACTATATCAGGTTGTTGACTTAAGAAGTTTAGGCGTGGATCACACTGGATTAGCTTCTCAAAATGCTTTCCTAATAGTCCTTGTGGGCACTGCAGAAAATGCCGCCTACAACAATGAGGACAAACATTAGGAATCATCATTCAAATTCATGCTCTCTATAGCAGTGATGCTAACGGTAAAATGATAAGAGACAACTCAACATTGAGGATAGGTTACGCATAAACCTCTGAATACTCCCTGAATGCTCTCTACAGACTCAGAACTTCTTAAGAGACAGCATTAACAGAAAATTATGTAAATCAACAATGGGAATAAGACATTACCATTTAATTTACAGCAGGTTTCATAAAATTAGAGATATCAATGATAAAGTTTGACAACAAAGTGTTCACATCAAGTACTTCTGTAGTACCGGTCAATTAGTGTAACAGATATCGATAAATCACCATTGGATACTTTTTCTCTCCTTTTGACTTAAGACGTACTGAAGTCATCTTGATTGGATTAGACTCTAAACTTCAGATGAGAATTGTTTATTTGTTGAAATAGGAGTAGTAATAGTACCTACATAACTACAAAATATATTTCTGGTTGGAAAACCACAAACGAAATATGAAACAAAATCAAAGACGCAAATCATTCTTATTTGGTCTCATTTATGAAGAAATCAACTATTAATAGTTATCATCAGCATGTTTGTCGTCTTTCAGTTTTGTCTATAATGCTTAGCATCTCAGCTATTCTGAAAATTACAGGCACTAGAAGTGTCTTTAGTCAGACAGGGACACTCACAATCCAACAATCTCAGGGTCAAGATATTTCACTGAATATATCCGCCACCAAAAATCACGTGTAAAGAGAACATAGGATATACCTCTGTATGCTTGCTTGTCCGCCAGTGAAGTCTGATGTTGCCTGCCACAAGGTATGCTTCCTTGGTTGTGGATTGATCTCCCTAAAAAATAAGGGTCTTCTAGCCAGCTGGAGGTAAAAAGAAAATGGACTTAACGTGGTTTGCTAGTGATGTTTAATGTGGTAACAATGATAAACATATAAAAAGAGAGAGAACACTTGCCACAACTTCAAGGGTTCCTGGTCCGTCATCAGGGTAGTTTGCCTTCAGAGCCATGATATCAGACCACGGGATTTCAATCTTATTCTTCAGACAACCATCAAGAACTTCCCATACAAGCTTATGCTTTGCAAAGTAACACTTTGCCACCAAATCTCCTTCATATCTTGACTTGTACTGCAAACCATTGGAACAAAAAGTTAAAATCACCACCTATCACTATATTTATCTCAGCATTACTATTTTATGTCAGTAATTTTCTTAGTTTACTTCGTGATCTTACCTCCCAAGACCCAATTTTTAAAATGGATGCAGGAAAATTCGAGGCCTTGAGTTTACCATCAGCAGTGATGGAAGCTTTAGCCCCCTTGTGATCTTTCTTATTGGCTGCCGCTAATTTCGAATTATCTGCTTGGGAGAGTCTCATCTGAATTAAATCCAGAAGGGATGGGCTCTTTTTAAGACGCAACCCCAGCGGGCTAGGCTCATCAAGGGGATTGTAAAAAGCTGGCGGGATCGATCGCGGATCATCATTACAACTCCACTGTCCCAAAATAAAAAAATAAAAAATAAAACTAGCAATTAACAAACAAGTACCAATCACAACTGAAGAATTCGAAAATATCTATCAGAGAAAAATGGCAACCCTCTGACATTAGAAAAGAGAAAACCAAGTAGGAAGAAAAATTTCAGAGTAAATTTACATTTTGTCCACACACGATCGAAAATTTTTTTCCACTCTTCACCTGAAACAAACAGATAATTTATCCTATTTTTGCCCGGTTTTTGTCGAATCTTTCAGGAGCCGGACTGAGTAAGGATAACATTAAGGAACTAACCAACTTAGCCGTTTATAAAACCAAAATCACCCTGTACTTTTATGGCGGATTCAGATAAATAGAATATAAATTCAAATTTTCAAACTCCATGGACTAGCAAGTTAAAAATAAGGACATTGAGAACAAGAAACGAAAAGCAGAATAAGATCAAACCTCGTGAGAAGAGTTCAATTTAGGCCGCTTGTGAAGAATGCGAAGTTCATCATCACCAGAGTCCTCAACCTCCAATTTGACCTTTTTCAGGCAGTTAGTCTCTGATCTCATTAACTGAACCATGGAGCTTCGATTCAAAGAAGCTGAATCAAGCAAAACGCAATAAGCCTTCAAATTCACAACAACGAGCTTCCTTCCCAGTACAGCACTGTGGAAATGGCGGGCGATTCGGCTAAGAACAACGAAACCAAACGAAAGCTTCTCTCTATCTCCCTTGACCTCGAAGCGCAAATACCACGTGCTCGAAGCGAAAACGGCGACGAGTTTTAAAAGACAACGCAAAGGCTCAACGAAATGACCAAATTACCCCTTACACGATGATATTTTGTCTTTTAGTGAGGGTATACATGAGAATAAGATGACTAATGATGAACCGCGTTGTTTTGCGCGGTAAGGCAATTGCAATTTAGACTGGCTTAGTGTCACGTGGCATCACGTGCTGTAGATATGTGGATTGCGTGTGGGACCCGGTTCGTGAACCTTCTCAGTCCAATTTTGTCTTGACTTGTGGCTGCAGGAACTTTCCCGATTGGGTGGGCGTACAGGTGTGAGAATCTGGTGGGATGACCGAACACGTAAGCTAGAAAGTGGGGCCAATCATATACACGACAGGATAATGTAAGTTGTTAATATTTTATTTTTTATGCGATGCCTTTATCCTTGTGGATAAACTTCACAAAATGCTGATCTAGTTGTCTCTGTACTTGTGCTTCAAGTGGCGCAAAAACTTTGTGATTTTATTATTATTAGTTGCCAACTTGTGTTCTTCCGTCCTTAATTTTTTATGGCTAAAAATATAAATATATGCTTATATGCCCCTCAATTTTTGAAGGAAACCCGTCAGTAAGTTTTTACACTTTGATTGTATTTTATTTTTATTTTCTATAGTTTTAAAAAGAATTACTTTAAAATTACATTTAACACAATTAATTATTCTAAGGTTCATTTAACATATTATATTATCATTCTCCTAAATTCAATTATCAATAGATCTAGGAGTAATTAATTATGTTGAGTGAGACTTCTTTGTAATTCTTCTAAAATATTATTCTACTGTTCCTGATCTCTTTAATTTGATCAATTTATAATATTAGTTTTTTAAATTTAAAAATATACATAAAGACTAAGAGCTTGTACTAATGCATATCCTAAGTAAGGTTAGGCGTTATAATTGATGGATGTAATTTTGCTGCAACTCTACCAACCCATTTGATAATTTGATAAAAATGTTGATGATATGAAAATAAATTCGCCAATCATGATTAAAAATTAAAGATGAATGGGAAAAAAAATTAATTTCTTTTATATTTGGTTTAAAATGGGAGACAAATGCAAAATTATGTATACATAGTAAATGAGTTAACAGGGTTAAGTATATCACGGCCATGTATGCTTCGAGGCCATTAAGGTTATGGCCTCAGGCCTCAAAATTTTTTTCTCCTACACCTTATATAATAGGTCATTATTTTTTTTCTTAAGTATTGATTTTAAATATTTTCATTAAAAATTTATTTCTTGCTTATACCCTATATACAACCAATCATCATTTTTACATCAAGCATTAATATTAATTACATATTCCCATTAAAAATTCACTGACTCAAATTTCACTGAACCTATCACTCACATTCCCAAAATCAATTAAGCATTCCCTAATTAGAAAGATAACATGCATATAATATATTAAAAAATTAAACACTTTTTAAATAAATAAATAAATAAATAAAATATATATATATATATATTACTCAGAGAATATTATTGATAATGCCGCTAATAGTTACTATTATTGAAAGAAAATTTTCAAAATTAAAATTATTTAAATTTAATTTAAAATCAGTCATGTTACAAAATAAGTTAAATAAATTAGCTATATTATTTATTGAAAGTGAAATGTTAAAATTATTTAATTAAAACATTTAAACATCTGATTTTATAGCTGAAAAAACTAGACAAGTAATATGAAAATAGATAAATGACAATACCTTGAGCCTCTTGAATAATTTGGCCTTAAATTCCAAAACTTCTTCACACAGCCCTAAAGTACATGTCAAACAAATTAACTCTATCAATGCCAATTATGGTCCTTATGTGCATTTTAAAAATTATAAAAGCTAACATTACAGACAAATCAAATTGAAAGGATCAGAAACAATGAAGTAAAAACAAAATCCAATTAGAGTATAAGGACCTATTTCTGCATTTTCCTTTTTTTCTAAGAATTACTTATTTTACATAAAATAATATGTATATATATATATATATATATTAATTTCTTTAAAATTAAAATTATACTTTCTTTTTCTTAATTAATTAAAACACTCCTTTGAAAGATATTTTTGAATATATTTATAACTACTACCTACATTTTACAAGTCGTCTTACAAATCAGCAGATTAAAACTTTCTAAAAATTGTTTAAAAAAAAAAAAATCTACGCAAGGGGTTTATTGCTGTGTGGCTTTTTAAGAAAAGCATCAAACAACTTTTGATTCTAGTTAAATTAGAAAGAGCCACCTTTACTATATTTTTTTTATTAAGAAGTATTGAATTAAAAATCTTGCTTGAGAAAAAATTGAAAATTTTTAATATAAGTACAATTATTATTATTATTATTAAATTAATTAATATTTGAATTGTTTCATTATTATTAATTTCATACGATTTTAATTTTAAATTTTTATATCAAAAAATTTTGATGAGTCAGATCCTATGAATCACTAGGGAGTCATGACATATATTTAAGTTTAAAGAATTCTTATAAAGATACATTCTCATCAATCCTTACCAATGGAAGTAATCTTAGTTTTAAATTTCAATTTCTGGTATAAAAAGATAAAAAAATTAAATAAAAATCAACATGAAGGGTGGAATATTTTTTCCTTGAAGTGAAATCATGACATAATTTTGACTAAAAATAATGTAATTACAAAACAAATGAGTTTTGTGAATTCATTAAAATTTAACTTCGGGCCCTTTCAAAGCTCGAATAAAGTTGAATGTATGTGGGTTATGCCAAAAAAACGAAAAAAGAGAGTTGAATGTTCACATCTTAAAAATAAAAAATAACATATTATAGGAGTTATTTATTGTCCCATCCGAGAATACTTCGATATAACCTGATAATATTTTCGGTAAAAAAAGAAAGATATAACCCAATAATATTGACACTTAATAATGAAAAAATGATAAAAAAAATTCCTCTAAAATATATGAATGACTATGAGGTCTTGTGAAATATCATAATTTTTTTTAATTTTTAGAGACTTTTTTGATATTAATAATTTTTAGTGAAATGTCTAAAATATTTTTAGTTTAAAATAAAAAATTAATAGCTCTGGTCCGAAGAAAAATAAATATTAATAAATATTATAATTTAAGCACTAATTAGAATGGAACAAGTAAAAATTTGTAGTAATTGATTAAATTAAAGTAGTCACAAATATTTAAAATACTTAAATTTCAATGAATAAAAGTTGTAATTGTTTGTTCTATTAGTCATTTTCAGAAAAAAAAAAAGTCACTACTTAAAATTAAAGTAGTAACTAATATTTACATTTTTATTTTGAATTGGAATATTTTAGACTTCTAGTCATTCCACCAAAAATTATTAATGTTATAAAGATTCCTAAATACTTGAGAGGAGATCTCATTGTCATTGTATATTTTAAGGAGATTTTTCTATCATTTTTTCATAAATTGTATAAGAAAATTAAGGGAAAATACAACTATTGATCCCTATAATTTTATCATATTTTGTTATTAGTTTCAATGCTTTTTTCATTGTTTTAGATCTTTATAGTTTTTCTCACTTATATTAGTTCCTATATTTTTAAATTTGCCCAAAGAAATTATAATGTAGTACTAACAGTAGTAATTATCTTACATGTAACTAGTATCATTTCACTATGCATCAAACAAATGTTAGGTTTTATTTCATTTGTTTTTACAGACTTCAAACCGGTCTTTTTGCTTTTGCTTTGTGTTCATTCACCACACCAAATAATCTTGTTACTTTGTATTTTGTGATGGCTTTGTCTTTTTCTTTCATATTTTAGCATTCAATTTAACACCATTAATTACATGTTAAATAATTTAATATTGTTAATGCTATATTGTTATCTCTTTAAATATATTAAAAATAGAAGGACTAATGTCGTAAACTAGAAAAATTTTAGGATGGTAGAGAAACAAAAATAAAATCTAGAAACCAATAATAAAATATGATAAAAATATAAGTGTTAATAGTTGTATTTTAATTTACCCAAAAATTTAAAAAAAATTGAAGGATTACATCAACTCAAACGGATCCATTGAGGATCGTGTACCAACATAATTATTTTAAAAACGAAAACCCCGTTTTTATGTGACATCGATCATTGCTAGCGGACAAGTCCTTACCAAGAGATACCACAAAAATCAATAAAATAGCCAAAATGTCTTGGAATGGAACGTGGAGTTCCCAATTAACTCCAAAATAAGTTGAAGGGATATGATAATGTGATCATTTGGTCAACAAATGCGACTTGAACAATAATAACTCTTTGTAGAATTTAGCACAATTATACATCTTCACGGATTTAACCATCTATCATTTAAATCAGGCTGTTGAGCCATAATTTGTTAAGTTGTAAATCTTAAAATTCATAATGAGTCTAATAATTTTTATAATTAAAAAAGTGAGTGAAAATCAACTTCAACATGTATTAGAAAGTCATAAAAGAAAAATATGATATAGAATTACACACAAATTCCGCACATTTAAATGTATTATAAGGATGTTTCCACAAAAATGTATTACAAGGAATCTCAAAGTAATTCTCTCAAAATATTAATTTTTCAGTTCTTAGACTTTATACTTATTTACACGTAGCTCTCAAAGTTAAATATGTCATAACTTATAAGTACTAGTGGGATCGATTTGTTAAAAAATGTGACTTATAAATACAATGACGCGCTTTAAATTTTTTTTTTTTATGTTAGACTAATATTGATGATAAATTGAACACATAATTTAATTTTTTTATGTTGTTATCTAGTTCAGAAAATATCAATTTTCCAATTAAAAGATAAATATTGAAGACTCAAAATTTATAAAATCATTAAACAATTATGCTTTTTAAAGTCATTGTTCATATTTCTAAAATTATTTTGTTTTTTCTTATTTCTAATTGAAAGCATCCTTATGATATTTAAAAATGATGTCGTAATTTTTTTTAGAATATGAGTAATCACCTACAATACAAAAT